CACTGAAAGCCCTGATGAGTGTGTCTTTGAATGGCTCTTAAGAAATGTCTGGAAGTTGGCAAGTTGCTCATGGAGAGAAGTCCCAAAGATATGAAGTGGATGTTGGAGACATGAACCCTGAAGACACTTTGTGACCTGTCCTCCTTGAATGGACTTACTATTCGGATGCGTTGTACGCAAAATGGGCATGCTTGTCGTAGGCTTTGGGCTGATGGAACAACCAGTACCATCTATGCGCTTAAGTTAACAAAGCTGCTCGGTTTGGCGGTTCTGTGTTCAGGTTCCAGATCTTGCAGTGCTTCCAGAGGGAAGCTTTCTGTAAGTGTGCTGGGTCACGGCATTGTCTGCCCTATGCCCTCAATCCACCCAGAGGTCACCTTGTGCCAATAGCTCCATCTCCCAACAGCTGCAAGGTTTTTGTGAGCAGCAGAGCAAAACAGAGCACAAAACCAGCAACTTGTATCCCCAAGCTCACCCTGTTCTGGGTGGGGGGTGGATTTCCTGTCCCACGTCCTGTTTAGCGAGTGTTAGATGTTGCAGGAAGAAGTCACCTGCAAGTGCATGCGCATTTCCCGAATAAATGTTGTTGTGCTGCAGAGCTGTGCAGATGAACGAGGATTGCAAAACGCTGCTCACGTTGGCCTTCCCTAATACTAATAAGCGATCGGTTTTTAAAATTGGGTCGTAAGCAGGCATCCCTAGAGGAGGCAGCAGCCTCTAGCCCCACCCCCGCCGCCCCCCAGCCAAATAAGAGCATGCATGACAGTCACATCTTCTGGTTGGCTGGCAGTGATGCACTATCAGATTGAACGGCTAATATCCAGGTTACTATGGTGACCAGAACCAAGAGAGTTGTAGTGTTGGAAAGCAGTGGTTTCTCCCTGCAGAAACCCTCCACCCCTCTGCTTTTCTCCCGCACAGACTGTTTCTCTTCTCTTGTTTCTTCCATGGAACAGTGTGAGTAATATTCTAGCTGAAGTGATCTCTGGCTTGTCACGTTTCTTCCATTTAAACCTTCTCTCCATGACATTGAAGCACGCTGGGTGCAAAAATGGAATGCAAGCAGCACCATTTGCCCACATGCAAGTAACTCTGAAATCCTGAAGCTAGAGCAGGGGTCAGCAACCTTTTTCAGCCATGGGCCGGTCCACCGTCCCTCAGACCATGTGGTGGGCCAGACTATATTTTGGAAAAAAATATGAACGAATTCCTATGCCATGCAAATAACCCAGAGATGCATTTTAAATGAAAGCACACATTCTACTCATGTAAAACAACCAGGCAGGCCCCACAAATAACCTAGAGATTCATTTAAATAAAAGGACACATTCTACTCATGTAAAAAACACGCTGATTCCAGGACCATCCACAGGCCGGATTGAGAAGGCGATTGGGACCGGATCCAGCCCCCAGGCCTTAGTTTGCCTACCTATGCCGCTTGGGTATAAAGCTTTGATGTGCTTCGTTCCTTGAAATTAAAAACCCTTTTATTCAAAAGCTTCAAAATATGGAAATAGTGCAAATATCAGAAATGGGTTTGTGATGGGTTTGCATCCGGTCCCCGGGCCTCAGTTTGCCTACCCCTGAGCTAGACCCGCTGGTGGATTTAATGAGTAAGCCTAGCAGTATAGCTCCTGGGGTCTGTTTACGTTTGAGGTAAAGAAGACTCTGAGATAATCTAAGGTCAGATCATCTCTGCTAGAACCTGCCTCTCAGGTGTTTGGGTACCATTTTCAGTCCAGCTGTCTGCCACATTCGTCTCTCCAAAAACAATTTTAGGCAAGAAAGCCATGTATTGCAGCTTTCTGACTCATTTTGTCTTTTGGCCACCCTATCATTATTATTATTATTACATTTTCTGTCTTTTTGAGAGCTAGAGGATAGTGTTGTGTTTTTTAATTTAAAAATAACAGCAAGAGTGACACCGATTCACAAAATAACATAGCTTCCAATTACCTGCTATTGTATAAATCATAAGGCAATTTGCTAGGGAGGGAGTTTCGCCCTTTGAAAGAAATGTTGAGCAGAGTTGCGCAATAGTTTTTTGTGAAATGTTTTTACATTGAAGGTGGGGGGGTAGATTAAACAAATATGGGGCATACTCCACTGGAAAATAAGTTCCTGTGTGTTCAGTTCTCAATGAACGCCAGGGGAGGTGCTCACAGGAGATGGGTTCAACAAGTTGCGCTTGTTTGGGTAGGTGCTATGACACCTGAAATATGCGCAGCAGTCTGGTAAGGTTGTCTAAGTCTTAGGCTTGGACATGAGAGAATTAGGTTGACCGGTGGCAGGCAAGTGCTGACTTGGGAAGCAACACCAGAACAGACAGGTACATTCCCTTTCTTCTCTGCTGCATGCAGGCATCCGCAGCTGTTTCAAGACACTTCGAGTTATCCACCCTGCTCCTTGCTAAATGGTGAGCAGCAACAAAGGTGAGGCGCATTGTGCAACATGTACACCTAAAGATGTCCACCGAAAAATGCAGAGCACATAATCAATCATCTAAGAAAAGTGTCGGTAGCATAATAGCATGATTCTTATCTTAAGCAACCCATAAAGAATCCTTTTTATTGTTTATTTGGTTTTCAAATCTGAGTTTTACGATCACATATCCAATATATAACAAAAAAACAAGATTCCAAGGAATCTTCTGGACTTCCCCCTCCTCCCCTTTGCGGATCCTATGGTTAATCATTTCCTCCTGCATCTTTTACGATAATCCAAATCTTTCACATCTCCATTATGTCCAAAATTCACCATTAAACTACATACTCTAGTCCTGCTAACAGTTATAATAATAATAATAATAATAATAATAATAATAATAATAATAATAATATATTTATTGTCATTTTAACTGTTTACAGTGGTTTTTAAGATAAATTATAAATATTCCCTATTCCTTATTAAAATGTTGGTCTTCCTGATTTCTGATTCTTCCGGTCATTTTTGCCATTTTGGCATAGTCCATCAACTTGATCTGCCATTCTTTTCTGGTAAGGACTTTATCTTCTTTCCATCTCTGGGCTAGTAGCATCCGCGCAGCCGGGGTCGCGTACAGAAATAGCATTTTCTGCCCCTTGGGATTTCGGATTTCCTGGATCTGTCTCCCATTATTTGTGAGCTGGCCTTTTGAATCTGGACCTGCCTTTTCTGTTTGGGACTGTCCCTGAAGCACTGAGCTCTTAGTTACGGTTTGGAGACTGAAGCAGCGTCTTACAAGCCAGCTTTCAAAAGCCCTCTGTTGTTAGGGACATTGCTGCTACAGTCACCGCCTTCCCATGCATGCTTTCTATGTGTGGACTGTGACCCCAGACACATACATGGCCCCAGTTGGCATTAAAATGTTGTAGTGAGAGAGGCCTATGGCACAAACCAGAAAAGTAAATACTGCTTGTTTTTCATGGTTAGACCCTCGCTGTTTGTTTTTATTAAAAGGGGGAAAGAAAAACAGCTTCTGTTGCACACATTGGATGAATCATTTCGGCAGCCTTTCAAGAGCAGAGGTTACTGAACTGGTCTGTGGGCAGGAGGCTGTCTGCAAATGACTTCCTGTGAACTTTTGATGAAACTGGCTCTGTGCTATTTCTGCTTCTTGTTCCGATATGCAAGTGTATTCTGCATGTGCATGCACAGTTTTGTACTGGCAGCCAAGATCCTGAATGTGTTTATGTTTGCTTATTTTGCATATTTCTGCTTTTGCTGTTTTATTTTAAGTGCCTATCCTCGAGATGGGGAAGTTCACGCACAGCAGTGAAAACTGCTAAAACCCCTGACCATTAGGTCCAGTGACTCTGGGGTTGCAGCGCTCATCTCGCTCTATAGGCCAAGGGAGCCGGCGTTTGTCCACAGACAGCTTCTGGGTCATGTGGCCAGCATGACTAAGCCACTTCTGGCAAACCAGAACGCTGTTTACCTTCCCGCCAGAGCGGTACCTATTTATCTACTTGCACTTTGACGTGCTTTTGAACTGCTAGGTGGGCAGGAGCTGGGACCGAGCAATGGGAGCTCACCCCATTGCGGGGATTCGAACCGCCAACCTTCTGATCGGCAAGTCCTAGGCTCAGTGGTTTAGACCACAGCGCCACCGTAGTCCCCTTATTTAGACAGCTTCTTACCACCTCTGGCTCCGAAGTTTTGAAAAAGTATTGCCGACCTGCTTTCACATCTAACTTTGCAGGCATGAGGAATAGAAATTGAGTGGTGGAATGTTAATGAGAACAGAGGTGCTCAGGATGCTGAATTCTGCAGCCAACCCAACTTCATGTCATCTCCCCTCTCCCCCCAGTCTTGACAGAATTGTGAAATTCAGACATGTCCTCTACGTGTCAGAGTAAAAACAAAGAACATTGTGAACTGCCCCTGGGAAAGTGTTGTGTTTTAAGATGATATGGAAAGTGCTTTCCTATGATAGTCAAACTGCATGAAACAGATGCTACATACACCAACACACACCTTTGTGCAACTTAGCTGTGTTGGAAGACCAGTGCCCTAGCTTGCTATAACAGTATCCAAAAGTGATGGAAACCACCTTTTGATAGACTCATCCCCACCTAGCCTCTTGGGCTTGCCGATCAGAAAGTCGGCGGTTCGAATCTGCGTGACAAGGTGAGCTCCCGTTGCTCTGTCGCAGCTCCTGCCAACCTAGCAGTTTGAAAGCACACCAGTGCAAGTAGATAAATAGGTATCTATCTGCAGCGGGAAGGTAAACAGCGTTTCTGTGCGCTCTGGTTTCCGTCACGGTGTCCTGTTGCGCCGGAAGCGGTTTAGTCCTGCTGGCCACATGACCCGGAAAGCTGTCTATGGACAAAAGCTGGCTCCTTCAGCCTGAAAGCGAGATGAGCGCCGTAGCCCCATAGTCGCCTTTGACTGGACCTAACCGTCCAGGGCTCCTTTAGCTTTACCTATACTCCACCATACCACAAATCTCAAGAGTCAATTAGTCGAATGTGATCAGCCGATGGGAGAGGAGAGTTAACTATGAGTGAGAGAGAATGATGTTGATTATGGAACATCTGGTGATACAGCAAGAAGCAGAATTTGTTGCCAGTGCCCTTTGTAAAAGCAATATCCAACAGCTACATTCTTGCTCAACCAAATGAACTTGAGAGTATAGAGCAGGCTTTCTCAAACTTGGCCCTCCAGATGTTTTGAGACTACAATTCCCATCATCCCTGGCCACTGGTCCTGCTAGCTAGGGATCATGGGAGTTGTAGGCCAAAAACATCTGGAGGGCCGAGTTTGAGGAAACCTGGTATGGAGTATTGTTCTCTCTTACACACCCACACACCGGTGATTCACGTTGTAAATGCATCCACCTGTGATCTGCTGTGGCTTTACCATGTGTTCATCTGGGTCTGCTAAGGCACTGCAAAAATAGCAAATTAATCAGGGATTTTCAATGCAACTCACTGTGGCGTTAAGTCAAGAAGTATTAAATACCTGGAAGACTTGGCCTCCTGTCCCGATGGCACCCTGACGTGACAGCGATCAGTGTTGGGCACTGTCTTTCTTGTTTGTTAGTCTTGTCCCTTTTCATTTCTTTTCTTTTAAAAAAGCAGACTAATATTTTATATTAGCGGCACAACCCTGAGCATGTTTATTCAGCAGACAGTCACATACGGGGCTTACTCCCATGGAAGGTGTGCATAGAAGTGCAATCTAATCACTCCTTGGTTCTTTCCCTAAAAAGTGGGGGGGGAGCAAATTATTTTTCTGATGGAAAGCGTTGGCAGAAAACAATGAATTGGTGCGATAGTTTAGGTTTCCCAAAGAAAAAGAAATTTGGCAGTGTTTTGGGGATTCTGTTCCCATTTTTCAGTAAGTGATGCAGGACCTTTTTAAGAACAAACAAACAGATTTCAGCATTTGGGCATGTTCATCTTGCTAGCTGCACTTTCAGCTCCTGCATTTAAAATTATCGTTAGCTGTCTTTCCTGTAAGGGAAATAAAACTGCATTATTACACTCATGAAGCGGGGAAGATTCTTAAAACCCAACATGCAAATTACCCAAGTTGCTGGATGTCCTGCACCCCCGCAATGGAAATTACAGGTTTTTTTAAAGCTGAATAACAGCTTAAAATTAAATATTCTGTTTCTCTTTGCATTAAGTTTCTGGAAATTCTTTCCTCTAGACCAGTGTTTCCCAACCGGTGTTCCGCGGCACACTACTGTGCCGTGAGACATTGGCTGGTGTGCCGTGGGAAGGAGGCGGGCGAGTCGGGCGGTGAGAGGCGGCGGCGGCGAGGATCCGCGTCGAGCCGGGGGCGGCTCCGCGGTGGTGGTGCCGAGCGGCGGGGCAGCGCGTGCAAAAGGGAGGAGCGCGAGACAGCGGAGGAGGAGGAGGCCGGCATGTCCGGGCAGCAGCAGCAACAACAGCAGCAGCAACTCCCGGCGACGGCTCCTCAAGCCCCGCCGCCGCCCCCTCCTCCGCCCGCTATCGCCGCCACCACCACCACAGCCGCCGCCGCCTCAGTTGCCACCGTCCCTCAGTCCCTCGCTCTGCTGCCTCCTCCCACCCCCAAAGCTTGGAGGTTCCCCGGCAAGGGGGAGGGAAAAAACTTTCACTTTCGTGCGTCCCTCCCGGCGTGACGCTGCGCGCTGACGTCACGGGGCGGGGCTTTAATGGTGGTGTGCCGCGAGATTTTTTTTCAGTAAACAGGTGTGCCGTTGCCCAAAAAGTTTGGGAAACACTGCTCTAGACAGCATTGTCAAAAACGCTGTGAACACTCTTTATTTAAGCCTGACACTCAAGCCAAGGGTCGTGTTTTTGTTTTGTTTTGTTTTGTTTTTTAACAGGGCTGTTTTATGGGATCTGATTTTTCACTCTGGGGTTGAATTTCTTATGCGGGGCTTCTAAGTTGGAGTGTTAGGAGAGAGCAAGCCAGTGAAGGAAGGACCCAAGTCTCACCCACATGACGTTAGCAAAGGAGTTGGCCCTCTTCTTACCTCCATCAGGAATGATTTTTTTAAATACAGCAAAGTAGTCTCTGGAACTGATTCCGTTGGAACAGCTGTATTAGAAAGCTGTTTGCTAAAACAATTGCAGTCTTCGTGTCACTCTGCAGGAGTCAGCAAACTTTTTCAGCAGGGGACCGGTCCACTGTCCCTCAGACCTTGTGGGGGGCTGGAATATATATATATATATTATGGGGGGGGGAATGAACGAATTCCTATGCCCCACAAATAACCCAGAGATGCATTTTAAATAAAAGCACACATTCTACTCATGTAAAAACACCAGACAGGCCCCACAAATAACCCAAAGATTCATTTTAAATAAAAAGACACATTCTACTCATGTGAAAACACACTGATTTCCGGACCATCCACAGGCCAGATTGAGAAGGCGATTGGGCCGGATCCGGCCCACGGGCCTTAGTTTGCCTACCTATGCCTCTTGGGTATAAAGCTTTCATTCCTTGAAATTAAAACCCCTTTTTTCCCAAAAGCTTCAAAATATGGTAATAGTGCTAATATCAGAAATGGGTTTGTCTTGGAGGGAACTCCATCAGTTGCACAGAGGGGACTCTCTGTACCTAAGCCTGGATGAGTAGCTCTATCTACGCACCTTCCCTGGCCCCATCCCAAAGAATGCACAAGTTGCCCTCCCTTATGGCCTTTCCAGAACCGTGGCTGAAGGAGTCGGTGGTTCTTTTTCTTCATTTGCATGATCCGTTCTAATCTTGGCCGTTAATCACGGCCTCCCGAGCTGTTAGGAGGTGGTGGAGCTGATCTTACAGGTTCAAGGTGGCCTTTCTTCTCCCCTTCACACGCTTTAAAGTCTCTTTCTTTAATGTGCTTCCCCCCCCCCCCTCTCTCTCTTACCCTGCAGTGAGAAACGCCGCCTGCAAGTCAGCGTCGCCAATCCGGTCCAGTGCAGCATGCATGGTCGGAAATGCACCGTCTCCGTGGAAACCAGAATAAACCAATCAGAGCCAAACTTCACCAAGGATCGGTCAGGCTTCGTTCTGTGTGTGCCTGGAAATTAGCATTGCTTCTGCTAGGGGAGGGCTGTGGGGGGGAGGGAGAGAGACTCCCCCTCTAAGCAGCCTTCCTTTCCTCTTGTGCCTTGAATCTTGCACGGTGGGGGAGGAGGAGGAGGGTTGTGAAGATGTTTGTCTGTGACACACATCTAGACATCTCTAAAGCTGCTACACTGAGCAGGAGCTTAAAATAGCCCCTCCATTGTGCTGGCTATAAATTTAGAACTGGCTCCCATGCCATGTTTTAGCAAAGTGCCTTTTATGAATGGATATATATATATATCTCCCTCTGCTCTCCTCCTCCTATTCCCCCCCCCCATACCTAAGATGGTTGTGTAATTAATCCTTGGGACTCCAAAGCCTTGTATGGGAGGGAATAGGAGAGGGGGGAAACCCCTTTGGATTTTATGCAGGCCTTAATTTTAAAAGTGATCTGTACTTAAAAAGAGGTGGGCTTTCCGTAGCACAGGGGCAAGGGGCTGGCAGCAGCTTCCACGGAGTTTCCCCAGCCCCTTTTGTTCCAAAGAGGTTGTGCCTGAGAGAAACGGCCCCCTCCCCAGGCCAGGGGTTGCCCACTTAGAGCCCTCCAGATGTTGTGGACTCCTAGCTCCATAGGACCATTGGCCCTACTGGTTGGAGTCTCGACAACATTGGACGGCAGCACGTGGGCTGCCCTTGCCCTGGCTTCCTCAACCTCGGCCCTCCAGATGCTTTGAGACTACAATTCCCATCATCCCTGACCCCTGGTCCTGCTCGCTAGGGATCATGGGAGTTGTAGGCCAGAAACATCTGGAGGGCCGAGGTTGAGGAAGCCTGATCTAGGTGGCATTAGCCATTGCACCCTGGAAAGGGTGTCCTCTTTTGGCATTAGCTTCTTCGCTGCAGTTCTTGCTGCAGTGCTAGCGTTGCACTGGAGTCCCAGATGAGCGCTAGGTGGTTGCACCCAGACACCAACAGACAGGTGGAAAGAGACCATCTTTATAGTATGTCTGTTATCTTCAGAGAGGGGGGCTCCCCTTTGTGCACGACTTGGCACAGATTTGCCTTCGCAACGCTGCTGTTAGTGCAAGCGCTGGAGCCGATCGCTCAGGCCAGCTCACAGGGTGCTTTATCCAAGCAGCTGGCATCATTCTGGCCAGTGTAGCCTCATAGTTAGTTGCCTTTTGTCTGTCTCTCCGGCTTTCCGCTGGGTAGCAGGCACAGCCTCGTCGACGAGCTTTATTTTCTTCTCGTGCCAAAGTAGCTGTGTTTTGCTTGACCCTGAGCGCTTCCAGCATCTCGAGACATGGGCCAAGATGCCACCGTTCTGGAGCACCTGACAAAGGCCCACACCAAATAAGCAAAATACCAAATAAGTAAAATGAAGTAAATGGGGTGTGGAGGGACCAAGCCTGACACTGCGGGTCAGGTCAGGATTCATTGACTTTGCGATTGCTCACAACCCAGGTAGGAACATTGAATGACTTCGGTTGAATCAGGTTTTCTTAAAGCAAGGGAATGTCCTTCCAAGATTAATGGGTGGTGGAGCAAACTGGCTTGTTCCTGGGGAGCAAGTCCCCACCACCATCAGATTGATGGACAAAGTCCTTATTACACAGTTCCCAGCCATTCTGGCTGTGCCGTTTCCCCATCTTTGTGGTCCAGCTTTCCAGAGAAGGGGACCACCATCTGGGTCCCTTTCCTTGCTTGTTTTATGGCTAGCCTGGACGTGGCAAGATCCACATTTTAAAGTACTTTTCGGTAGAGATGCCCACAGGCTGGGGTGATAAATACCGTATGAAGTCTTTATGCGCTTATGGCATGTATGAAGTCCATTAGCTATCCCTGCGTTTGTTCCAATGAATGTCAGGCACATCTATGCTGAACGGCGTTCAGGTTGGTCCTGGCCCATCTTGTAAACCCGACCAAAAGTTTGCACTCTTCCCTGTTGCCAGTAGCGAAACGGACCTATCCCCACCCCGGTGTCTTCTTCTGCTTCTCTGTTAATTACTCAAAAGCCTTCCAGCTCTCACTTTCATAGCAGCCAAATTAGCCATGGAAACTTTTTAATTAGCACTTTCATACGGTGTCCCGGCATAATTGCTGCATTTGAATGATGACAGAAACCGGTCCTCCGATCCTCAGATGAAGGGTGGTTTAGAAATTGAAGAAATGCAAAATAAATAAACAAATCGTGTGATAAGGAAGTCTCTCCAAATCTGTAAGACTGGCTATGTCGCGTGCTATGAAGTATTTGTCTTGATTTAAATGAATATACAGTATTTGTGCCTTTTCTGTTGTGTGTATGTGCGTGAGTGAGAGAAAAGAGAGATTTTCTCGGTTTTATCTATAAATTAACTATTCCTTAATTGTATGTTTGATTTTTAAGCCTGAGGGAATAATGGAATGAACATTTTTAAATGTAGTTTATATAGAAATGTGGGCAAGCACCCTTGTTATAATTGAAATGTATTTTTGTTTACATCATTCATTGCAATAAATAAAAGAAGTATCATTTATACCCAATAATGCTCTCTCTTTTTGTATTTGGGAAGCACAAAGAAATAATATTATGTAGAGAAGATTGCACATGGGTGAAGGGAAGTAACGGGTATGGGGGAGAGGGATATAGGGCAGTATTTGGAAAATTGTTAAAGTGTGCATGTGACTCAAGGGATCAAGAACAAGGAGTTTCGAAACAAAGAAGGCGACGAGCAGGCTGACGATTGTGCAATTGGTGAGCAATTTTGGGCAATTCCCCCTCAAAAAATTTTACTTTTTAATATTTTAATGTTCCATTATTTTAATGTTGTATTTTATTTTTGTTTTTAAGTTGTAATCATTCTTCTTGTTTTTATTATTGCTTGTAAGCCGCTCTGAGCCGCCGTGGCTGGGGAGGGCGGGGTATAAATAAAAAATTATTATTATTATTATTATTATTATTATTATTATTATTAAAAAAGCTCCACAACTGTAGGCAATCTCCCCCTCCAAAAGCTGGACAACTCTAGGCAACCCCCCCCCATTTTCTTACTTTTGAGTCCCCAAAAATTGGGGGTGTCTTATACACGGGGGCATGTTATACACGAAAATATATGGTACATAGCAAGGTCCCATGGACCTTTGGAGATCTGCTTCTCTTTCTTGCTAACTATGCTAGGTGTTATCCCATATAGATCAGGGTTGTCCAACTGGTCGATCGGGATTGAGTAGTCGATCCCTGGGAGGTTCTGTTTGATTGCTGTCAATCACAGGCTCCTTTTCATTAGCAGTGGCATAAGAGCATCCGGCCCCGCCCCCTTCGCCCCACCCTCCATTCACGCACTTCTTTACTTCCCTCTCCAAAATTTCCCTCCCTTCCCAAGAATTACCAACAATAGAAGAATGGCAGATGAAGATGATGGATTTTTCGGAGCTAGCCGGCCGACCTAACCGGAAGAGTCCGCGACCAGAAGGAGGAGGAGTATCAGGAAGAGTGGAATAAATTTAATGATTATCTAGTTAAATTTGTTAAGTTAAATTAATTGAAAATAGCTTGCAGATACTTAATTGGCTTAGGGTTTTATTTATGTTAAGTGATGAATTAATATGTTTAATTCCATAAGGTGAAGATTTAAGGATGTTAATGTTTAAGTTAAATTTCATAAGAATTGGGATTTGGAAAACCGTTAAAAGGACATGCAATGAAATTCAACCAAGGGGAAGCGAGGAAGTGTAATTTTCAAAAAGGCTATGATTTATGTTTGTTCGTCTTGTGTGTTTGTTTATAACATTGTGAAAACCAATAAATTTTTTGAAAAAACAAAAAACTTCCCTCCCTAAAAAAAGCTCAACAACTTTGACCTGAGCCCCCCAAATCACTGCCAGTTTTTTATTCTTTGAGTAGATCGCAGTCTCTTGGGAGCTGGACGTCCCTGATATAGATGAATTGGCATTTTCTTCTTCACCAGTTGGTTTGAGACAGGGATTGTAAAGGTAAAGGACCCCTGACAGTTAAGTCCAGTTGCGAACGACTCGGTGGTTGCAGTGCTCATCTCGCTTTACCGGCCGAGGGAGCCGACGTTTGTCCGCAGACAGTTTTTCCGGGTCATGTGGCCAGCAGGACTAAGCCGCTTCTGGCGAAATCAGAGCAGCGCACGGAAACACAGTTTACCTGACTCTTCCCAGGAGCAGGAGGACAGTATAGATTTGGAACAGTGGTTTGCAAAGGGGCATAGTTCAAGAAGACAAAAGTTGGGAAGAACTGGGTGGTGAACAGCTAGGAGATGAAGAACTGGACGAGAGTCAACGGACACACTCTCACTGGAAAGCCAACATCCGCCAAGCCCAAGGTCATGACGAGCAGATGTGGTTGCAAGACGAGGAAGTGACGAGGGTGACCTGGAAGGGAAGTGGGTGTAAACCTTAACTGGGAGCACCTTTACTCCGATAATGGACTCTTTGTTCTTTCGCTGTGATCATTAAAATCTCTTTAAATGCTAAGAGACTATTTTTGCTTTGTTCTGCTTATCCACGGCCAAAGGAAGCCGCTTCCCCAAAGCCTGACAATGAATAGAACAAACACCATTTGTTGCTGCTAAGTGTTTAATGGTTCTTGTAAAATTTTTTTATAAACCAATAAATGGTTGTTGTTGTTTTAAAAAACCCAAGGGTTAAGAAATAATGGATAGGATCCAGCGAAATGTGAGCAATTTTAAATCCAGTTGATCTCATGGAAAATATTTAGGCTGCAGACTCAATTGGGCTTTTAAAGTTTACAACTCCTGCTGAAATCACGGTAAGTTGTTTTGGTTGGAATACACACCGTGTTTCCTGATACCTTTATTGTAAAAGGGTGAACATGATGCAAACGTCTCTATTTCGGATAAAACGCTTCCCTCAAACACAGAGGGAATGCCAGCAGCAGCCTCAATGTTAACTTGCTTCCAGTTTCTTGATTGCTTTTAAAAAAACACCAGCTTTCATTGTCACCTCAAGGAAGAATAACCCCAGTCCAGAAAGGGAGCCCATGAAGGATGTCGAAAATGGATTAGCTAGTGCTTGTGAGCTCATGAAGAAGGAAAGCACCCTCAGAGGCCAAATGTGCTTAAGAACTTTGCATTATTGTTTAGTTCTGAACCTTAAAAATAATTTTTAAAATCTCATTAGCTGGACTCTAGCAAATGAACAAGACTCGCTTCCTCTTCTGACTCTCCTTGTGACTCATGCACCACGTGATACCAGGAATGCCATTCACAAAGCTTGGTTTTCTTTCTCTTCCCAGTGAGAGACTAGCTCCAAAGAAGGAATTTCTCTCCCTGGGCCAACCTGTTTTCCTCTTCTGTCTCCCCATCCCTCCAAGACAACGTTGCCCCTCAAAACTACAATATGGAGGGGTGACTTCAGCCGTACATTATCTACTTTCCCCCCCTCATTTTAAAAACTGGAATCCCGAGGGTCCGCTGATGGGTGTTCTGAATGTGAAAAGCACACAAGGCAATATTTGAGGTTTCTTCATAGTGAAGCCTTCCAGGTGGACTACAACTCCCATCAACCCTGAAAAAGCTTGGCTGGGGATAATGGGAGTTGGGAGAACAAGTCTGTGTTTTACAGTGCAGATCCTATGCAAGTCTGCTTACAGAAACAAGTCCTGCTAGCTTTAATGGGACTGACACAGGTGGCGCTGTGGGTTAAACCACAGAGCCTAGGACTTGCCGATCAGAAGGTCGGGAGTTTGAATCCCCGCAACGGGGTGAGCTCCCTATTGCTCGGTCCCTGCTCCTGCCAACCTAGCAGTTCGAAAGCACGTCAAAGTGCAAGTAGATAAATAGGTACTGCTCTGGCGGGAAGGTAAACGGCATTTCCGTGGGCTGCTCTGGTTCGCCAGAAGCGGCTTAGTCATGCTGGCCACATGACCCGGAAGCTGTACACCGGCTCCCTCGGCCAATAAAGCGAGATGAGCGCCGCAACCCCAGAGTCGGCCACGACTGGACCTAATGGTCAGGGGTCCCTTTACCTTTCAGGTAAGGGGACACAGGTTTGTAGTCTTAAGTGATTCTAAGTGTTTACTATTGGTGAATCAGATCAAGGTCTACCTAGGCCAGCATCTTTTGTAAAAATCCTAGCCACCATCTGTCATGATGTTGTTGTCCAGCGAACTTCGTTCTGCCTACTCATTTTCTGCAGGATATTGCTTCCGTGGCAACCAGGCGAGAACCCGTGAACCATACTGACTTAACCTTGATTTAAGAGCCTCTTGCGTTAAACCGCCTCTCAACAAGGCAAATCCAATTAAATTCCAATGGCTCTGTTATTTACAATTGTCTTCATTGTCTATCATCGCCTCCTGCCATCATACAACAGCATATGTTTTTTTAAAATATATATATATATAAAATAAAGCTCTGAAAACCATCATGTAATGGATGGTCAGTGCATTTTATTTTTAATCAGCACAGTACAAAAATAAATAAAAATAAGGGGGGGCGTTAAGTTACAGGCACACACAGCTCTGTGACAGTCTTGTCATATTTATAAACCTCACATACTTACAAACTCACTATAATACACATACATACAAAAAGGACAATTTATAAATTAATTTAAGTAATAATAAGCAATAATCATAATAATAATACCAATTTTGGTCAACAAATATCTACAGAAGAGATTGCACACTAAAAAAAACAAAACCCCAAAAACCTTAACATACACATACATGTAGAATTTAGCAGGTTTTCTGTTTTTTTCCTCCTCTTCTCCCCTCCCCAACCCACCCCACACATAAAATGTACAGGTATGCAGAATTTCAAGTGAAAAAAATGGCACATTTTTTTCTTTCAGGTTTTTTTTTTCCTTTTGAAAAAGAAAGAAGAAGTAACAACGGTTTAGAACACAGCTGAACTCTTAAGAACTGTGTACTGTACAGTTAAGATTAGAAAAGGTCTAGAAGTCTCGAGATGAAAATATATCGATTTGAATGACCTAAGGGTAGGAGGGCCTGTTTAGACAGCGGTGGGGAGGAAGGGGGGGGTGATGTGCTTGAAATTTGTGCACAGCGATTTATTTTGCTTCTTTGTTTTTACAATCAGCTGTTCTAAGGTTTTGCCTTTTGTCAAAAGATGCTTTTGGCATGCAAAAACGTCACTGGAAAGCAATGGTGAAAGAACAAAAGAAAGACCTTTTTCCCTCCCACCCATACCCCTTTGTATTTATTAGCATAGATTTTGTTCTAAAAAGTATTCGCTTTGTATAGCAGCACGTTAAAACCCCATTCATTGCTCTTATGTACTCAAGTATATCAGTTGATCTTTTGTTTGCTGTTACAAAAATCCCAATAAATACAGTGGATCCAGGACTCCCAAAAAGAACAAGACGGGTTTTCGCACCAAGGGATGCACATACGGCTGTTAGCTCCCTCTGCAATGCAACCCATGGTTTGCTTACTTTGGAGTAAGCCTTGCTTTGTTCACTGGGGCTTTCTCCCAGGTAAGCATGCATAGGACTGCAGCCGCAACCTTCCAGAACCACGTTGATTAAAGAACTATAATTTCCCTTTTATATTGAAAAGAAAAGAAGGAAAGCATATGGAGAAGGGGGGGGTGTTTAGGAGAATTACTTATCCAGAGACAGGCTAGAATTTAGTCTTCAAGGTGTTCCAGGTGCCAGCGAAGAAGCTGAGCAAGGAACGCCCAAGTTGATGATGAGGGGAGACTGAAATGAAATATGTGCCATCCATTTTAGAGCAGCAAAAATGGTCATGCAATGGAGATCTGTACACCCCCGATTCCCCATTCACTGCAAAGGACCCAAAGCCCTCCCTCGCGACTCTAAGGCTCTCCTTCCCGCTATGAACCCAAAACATACGCTTAACAGTCAGTGTCTCGCTTCTGAATGGCTCAGATTTCGGCCTAGCTTTTGGAGGCGATGGCAGGACCTGCTTAGCAAACCCAGCAGCCGTTTCATATTCACAAAATCTCAGCTCCTGTCTACCTCAAAGCCTCTCAGCTCAGACCTTTTTTTTTTCCTTTTGAAATTTCACAGCTTTTTTTTTCCTGTTCCTCTTACATTATTATTATTTTTTAATTTAAATAGTGCTCTGCTGCTTTGAAGTTAATTGCAAGCTACCCTATTCAACAACCGTTAAGTACAAGACAAGCCTTCCTTCTGCCAGAATGCCAGCATCCATAACACCAGGATCAGAGATGGAGCCCAGAACGCTTTGAACTTGGCCTTTTGTCCAATAGCTACCTCAACACCCGACAGTGTTTGAGCGTCTTTGTCCTCTCTGTTGTCCCACGGGAACTTAAATACAGAGAAGATGACCTCCATTGTAAAGGAAGTTCACATCTTCAGCAGAATCCTAGACCCGGGACTATTGGCATTTAATTCGGCATGTCATTAACTGAGCAAAATTCAGTGTATATTTCGGTGTTGCTTCACTCCCTCCCTCCCTCCCCAACCACCCCCACCCCCACCCCCTGCTCTTCTCTATATACATCTACCATCCCTGAAGCTTGCTGATCAGAAAGATTTTTTAACCTCTTCCTTTTTGAGAACCAGAGGGCTAAGCAAAATAAATTAAATTCCTAAGCACCGGAATAATTTTTTTTTTAGAGGTCTACATCAAATGTTTCAGTGCCAGAAATGTGGGGGGAAGGGATAATGAAAAAATATTAGGAGCTAGCATGCTTTTTTTTAGAGACTAAAAAAGCAATATAAATCTCAGAATATACTAAATGTGTGTCTATTCTGTATATGCTTCAGTTTTATATTCCCAAGCTTCTTTAGTCACAATCTGTTCCTGAAATTGTAGTGTTTGCTATGGATCTCTTTATTATTACATAGTCATCATTCTTCCCCCGCTTGGTACGTTCCCTCCCCCCCACCCCTCATAAAATATTAAGATGGTTGGCTGGCTAAATAAATGCCAAGGAATTTTCCATTTCAGGATGGGGAGGGAGGAATCTGTAACAAAGAATATCAGCTGTATATCGGGGTTTCAGCACCGAATCATCTGGACAACAAAGCGACTGGCACCAGCCTTACATTTTCCTGAAAGGTTTATCTTGAAAAGGGACCATTATCCCAGCTGCTCAGAAGGCCTCAACAGAATCATAATCACTCTGATCTGAAGCAGCCAGTTTATATACTGTGCAATAAAAAATAAAACTCAAAATGTATCAAACGTCCACCTAAATAACTTGCCAGCAAAATTAATACTAGGTGAGTGCCCATTCCATCTCAACCACCCATTCCATATTGGCTACCTTGACTTTTTTCCCCCCTTGGGTACTGTCACAGGAAATGACCCCCCAAATCTCACCTTTGCCCTTTGGCACGGATGTAAACCAAAGGGGCTGCCTCCCCCAGGGAAAGGCGGCGAGAGGGGAGACATCCCAAAGGGCCTGCAATATGCCTGCCTTTTCCTTCCCCACTTCTGCTAGGGTGTAGCCACGTGTTTCCATGCAATAAGGGTCCCTTTCCGGAGGCCAATACTGTTTTGGTGTCATTTCGCTCAGGCGAGTGCGCAAGATGGTGGAAAGAAAAAGAGGAGGCGGATCCCGTCCTTTGATCCCTTTTCCAGAACGCCAGGCTCGGCAACATGCGCTGGGTTGGCTCCCGCTTTTGTCTGGAGGACAGTAAATGCTGTTTCGCCACCTCTGCAATCCGCGGCGAGGAATTAAGAAGTACAAGACGGATCTCCCCTCCCCGGCTGAGGATCTCTGAGGCAAAAGCCAAGAGGCGAAGGGATGCCGTGGTCTTGCCAGCATTGCGCTTGGCTCCAAGCCCCACCTGCTCGCCCCCTCCTTGTTGACATTGAGGGCGAGAGGAAGCCACAGAAAACCAGGCAGGCAAGGCCCGACGTCACCATTTCTCCTTCCCTTAATGTGTCTGTTTTTTGGATCCCAAAAAGCCAAGCCGAAGAACGGAGGCTCAAGTGTCCTCTCTCAGCCTTGCCCATGCCCACCTTTTGTGTCCCGGTTTGTTTCGAAAACAAAAACAACATAAAAAGAAGGAAAAAATGTTCCCCCCTCATCCCAGTGGCAAGGGAGCCCGAAAGCTCACCGGTCCAGGCCGATGAGCAGCCTGTTCTTCTCTTCCTGGCTGCTCTCGTTCTTCAGGTCGGCAAAGACCTGAGTGAAATAGTGCGGGTCGGCGTTGATCTGCAACATTTTGGGACTCATGAGGTTAATAATGGACAGGCAGCGATCCCAAAAGGCCTCCTTGCAGCTCTCCACCAGGAAGGGCTTGAGAGGGTAGGAGATCTCGTTGCCCATGTAGGAATAGGAGAGATAGAGGCAGGTGAGCAAGACGGCTTGGAGTTCATGGTCCGTGGCCACTTCGGAAGAGATGACGTCCCGGCAAAGCATGTACAGGAACACCACGTTGGCCGGGGTGATGAAGCCTTGGTCTTGCCAGCCTTGCAGGAGCAGGGACCGGTCAACGCTCCGAAGCCACAGGACCGGGTCGGTGGGCGATAGGTGCTTCAGGCGGTAGCATCGCCGGCAGAGGAACTCGCCCAGGCACCGAAGCAGCTCGCTGGTCGAAGCTTGGACAATGACCCTCTTGGGGGTGCCGGTGGAGTTGCTGTTGGGGTGGGGGGTCTTCTTGACGGAGGACAGGTTGCTCTTGGAGGTGGAAATCTGGTTGTTGGGCGCCGGCGGTTGGGTGCCCTGGTTCTGGGCGAAAGTGGAGAGGTTGGCACAGGAGAGGGACTTCTTCAGGTTCTCGTTGTTGAGGTGCGTGACATTGTTCTGGTAGCTGCTGTTGGGCTGGACCTTCTTGGAGTTCTTCTTCTTGGCCGACACGGCCACGATCCGCTTCCAAGGCAGCACCGAGATGATGGAGTGACGCTTGAGACTCTTGTCTTTGGCGTTCTTGCTGTTCTGCACGGCCGTGTAATGGCCCACCGTGGACGAGCCATCCTCAAAGAGGGTCGCCTTCCGGTAACTGGGGGAAAGGGACAAGACGGTACCCATGGCGCAAGTAGCAGAGGAGGGAGGGAGGCGAACGGAACAGGGGGCCTGGGCGTCAGCCTGCCACCTTTGGTGTTGCTGGCTGGGCACGGGCAGCGGTCTCTGCTTCAAGCACCCCTATGCCGCAGCCTTACAGATTCAGTTCAGACCTGCCAAAGGAAAAATGGTTCAGATAAGCAACAGCGGAGCAAGCACACAGAATCTCACCCCCCCACACCCTTTCCCTGAGGGTGCAGAAGCCCCTTCTCACCCCCTCCCTTTCCTGTCCCCATCCATCCTTTTCTGGCATTATTTTCTGGCTTCCACTGCTTCCCTCTCTTTTTCTTCCCTCCCCTCCCAAATCTTTAAGGCCACCTCAGATACACATTGGCTGCTGGGTCTCTCCCTCCCCCTTTTTTTATTTTTACCGACATGGCCTGACACCCTGCCCTACTCCAGCAGACCCGAAGCCTGTGTACGACCCCCTGCGCAAGCTCTGCACACGCAGCCATGTGCTAAACCCTGTGCGTTCCCTAGAGGTAGCCATATTATCCCATTGCAGCAAAAAAACAAAAGCCTCTCGCCGGTGTGTTGGATGGATCACGGAAGCACCTCCGGTGGGCCAGAGCAGAGCCCGTTTGGTCAACAGCATGATGTCAGAGGTGCACATGCCACTCCAAAGCAACAGACCTTGCCCACTCCTGGGGAAGCTCTGCCTGAGCACATTATACGGGCATCAGTCATGCATTTCATATAATTACAGACGCGCAAGTTGCTGCGTCGCGAATGCTGACCCTCTGCAAAGCAGCTGCGGAGCTGGAAACGGTTGTGCCTTGCATGTGCCGTTGAGCTGATGCGTGTGTGTGTGTGTGTGTGTGTGGTTTATTCTCATTTTATCCTGACCCACCCTGGCATCTTCAGAGGAACGGTGGGATACAAATGCAATTTAAAACGACAACAAACCATTCACCCTGCCTCCCCATCTTTCCCGAAGATACCTTTCCTCCTGCCAATGTTTTCCTCCGACCCATCCTGGCGTGTACACACACACACACACACACACACACGGGACTCGCTGCCTCCGCCCCCCCCCCATGTTTTTTGCTGCATCCCCTTCAAAGGGAGGGGGGGAGAAGGGATGCTCGCCATGGCGCCCTGCATCCCAACCTCCCCCTTCCCGGTGGTACCCACCGCAGTGCGCGCTCCCTCGCTCGACGGCGCGTCTTCTGTCCAAGGTCCTGCAGGGCCGGCTTGGCTCGGGGGGGGCGGCGGCAGCGGCGGAGAAAGGTGGCGCTGCGGGGGGTCTCCGTCCAGCCTCCCCCTCCCCCGGCTCCGAGGCGCGCCGGATCAGTCGTGCGCGGGCATGGAGAGCTTCGGCTGGCGCGGAGAGAGGGGGGGCGCGCGGATGGCGCGACGGCAGGCAGCACCCCTGGGTGGGGGGGCACCCCCTTCCCACCACCCACCCACCACCCTTCCCTCCCTCCCTCCCTGCCCGCAAGGGCGGCGGCGCGGGGCGTCCGGACCGCCTGGCGCTGCTCCGCCACTCCCGGCCCCGGCTCTCGGCTGTTGCGCGCCCGGCTGGCTCGGCGCGTCCTGCTCGACTCCGGCCGAGACGCCGCTCGCCGCCCGGCTCCGCCTCCGCCCCCGCCCCGGCCGCGCCTCCCCGCCTCTCCCGCCGCGGCCGCAGCGCCGCCTGCCAAGCGGGGCGCCCTCCGCCGGGCGCTAGCGGGAAGGCGACGGAACCCCGGGCGAGAGCGCCTCTGAGCGCGTGCAGAGGGAAGAAGGCGCAGGGGCTGGCGCGCGGACGAGGGGTTTCAGAGGTGGCCATTGTTTCCTTTCATATATATCTGAAAGGAAACAATACATATGGTTTTTGGAATTAAAGTTTCACAATCACATATCCAACACACATAACAGAAACGAGATCCCAAAGAATCTCCTCCCCTTTGTGGGTCCTATGGTTAGTCATTTCCTCCTGCATCTTTTATAATAACGCAAACCTTTTACGTCTCCGTTATATCCAAAATTTACCATTAAACTACAAGTGTTTAGTTTCTATCGTTGTCTGTTATTATTATTCTGCATTTTAAATTGCATTTTAAATTGGTTTTTTCTCTTTTTCCCCCTATTATGATTTTATTGCAGAAGACAAAAGTCAGAGATTGATGTGCATTATAATGACTTTTGTCTTCTGTGTTTCTGGGGGTTTTCCTGTTGTTATTCTGTCTCTCACAGCTGCACTAAACCTACCATTGAAATTATGGAGTGGCCATTTCTTCGTCAGAGGGTAAATGGGCAAATTTAGCAGGGGATCAAATACTTTCCGCCCTCACTGTAGACAAATAGGTACCACTCCGAGGGGAAGGTAAATGGCATTTCTGTGCGCTGCTCTGGTTCACCAGAAGCGGCTTAGTCATGATGGCCACATGACCCGGAAGCTATCTGCGGACAAACGCCGGCTCCCTTGGCTTATAGAGCAAGATGAGCGCCGCAACCCCAGAGTCAGTCACGACTGGACCTAATGGTCAGGGGTCCCTTTACCTTTTAAGTCACAGCAGTGCTTGGCAGGAGTTTCAGAGCAAGGCCGAGAGGTGGAAAGAAGGTGAGGTTTGGAGCTCCTAGAAGATGCAGCCCCCTCAGCAGGGCTGGCGTACGAGCCGGCCGCCAGACCACTCTCCAATTCTGAATGTGGAGCTGGTGCTGATGGTCCTATTTGGTCCTTGGCCTCAGACAGAAAAATGCCTCACCTGTCACCACACACAGGTCAGTCACATACACACCATCCATTCAAAGCACTCTCTTTTTTTCTTTTCTTTTTTATTAATTTTCACAATAAGCAAAATCGTTACTTTAAAGAAAAATAAAAGAACATAAAATGAAACATTTAAAACAGGCATCCCCAAACTCTGCCCTCCAGATGTTTTGGGACTACAATTCCCATCATCCCTGACCACTGGTCCTGTTAGCTAGGGATGGTGGGAGTTGTAGTCCCAAAACAGCTGGAGGGCTGAGTCTGGGGATGGCTGATTTAGAACAACTGTATACATATTTAATATTAAATCCGCTTTATGGGATTACTTCCCTCCCCTCCCCTGGTTCCTTTGTATTATCTTCATTTATGCATGTCAATAAAGTCTTTATCTCTAATTATCATACCTCCAAATTTAAACATTATCCATAACATTGCAAGTGTTTTTTTTAAATCCTGCTTTTTTAAAAAATTCACTTCCTTACAATGCTTTTGTAAATGTGCAGTGAACATTTCACATTCTTTTTTATATTTGTTATCGTCTTGATTTCTAAGTTTCCCTGTTAGTTTAGCCATTTCCGCATATTCCATTAACTTAATATGCCAATCTTCCATAGTGGGGACACTTTCTTCTTTCCAGTGTTGGGCTAGCAATATTCAAGCGGCCGTTGTTGCATACATAAACACAAAGCACTCTCGTGCCTCGTGGGAAATGTTGATTGCCCAGGGCGCTTGGAATTGTAGCTCAGTGACATCAGTGCCCTGGGCAAACTACAGTTCCCATGATTCTTTGGTGGAAGCCATAGCTGCAAATGCGGGTGTGAGCAGAGACTCCCTCCCTTAATCTGCAGGATTAAGACATTCCTGCCTAAGAAGGCCTCCGGCCTTTAGCGACTGTTCCCATAATTCTACACAATCCCTCTCTGGTTTTGAACTCTGAAAACAATACAGAAAACAGCACCGGTTTACATCATATTTTTGATGGAGTTGCTTCAAAAGTGCTTCCGCCGCTGGCTTCCGTTGTCGGCTCTTTCAGTAATAAATAATTTTGCTATTTTTGTAAACTGGAACAGGGAGAAAAGACGGGGTTTAATCAAACCAAACGCATAATAATAATAATCTTGCCCTGTGTTGGATGCAGAAATGGCCATAAAATGCTTTACTTTGCAAAGTGTGAGGCATTACAGAAGAGTAAACTGATGAATCCCAGTTGTGAGTCACGACCCAGTCCAAGTCCAGAGGTCACACCAGCAGCTGACAGTTACCATTCAGTGGATTTGTAACTGGCTGACTGACCGAACCCAAAGGGTGCTCATCAATGGTTCCTCTTCATCCTGGAGAAGAGTGACTAGTGGGGTGCCACAGGGTTCTGTCTTGGGCCCGGTCTTATTCAACATCTTTATCAACGACTTGGATGATGGACTCAAGGGCATCCTGATCAAATTTGCAGATGACACCAAACTGGGAGGGGTGGCTAACACCCCAGAGGACAGGATCACACTTCAAAACGACCTTGACAGATTAGAGAACTGGGCCAAAACAAACAAGATGAACTTTAACAGGGAGAAATGTAAAGTATTGCACTTGGGCAAAAAAAATGAGAGGCACAAATACAAGATGGGGGACACCTGGCTTGAGAGCAGTACATGTGAAAAGGATCTAGGAGTCTTGGTTGACCACAAACTTGACATGAGCCAACAGTGTGACGCGGCAGCTAAAAAAGCCAATGCAATTCTGGGCTGCATCAATAGGAGTATAGCATCTAGATCAAGGGAAGTAATAGTGCCACTGTATTCTGCTCTGGTCAGACCTCACCTGGAGTACTGTGTCCAGTTCTGGGCACCACAGTTCAAGAAGGACACTGACAAACTGGAACGTGTCCGGAGGAGGGCAACCAAAATGGTCAAAGGCCTGGAAACGATGCCTTATGAGGAACGGCTAAGGGAGCTGGGCATGTTTAGCCTGGAGAAGAGGAGGTTAAGGGGTGATATGATAGCCATGTTCAAATACATAAAAGGATGTCATATAGAGGAGGGAGAAAGATTGTTTTCTGCTGCTCCAGAGAAGCGGACACGGAGCAATGGATCCAAACTACAAGAAAGAAGATTCCACCTAAACATTAGGAGGAACTTCCTGACAGTAAGAGCTGTTCGACAGTGGAATTTGCTGCCAAGGAGTGTGGTGGAGTCTCCTTCTTTGGAGGTCTTTAAGCAGAGGCTTGACAACCATATGTCAGGAGTGCTCTGATGGTGTTTCCTGCTTGGCAGGGGGTTGGACTCGATGGCCCTTGTGGTCTCTTCCAACTCTATGATTCTATGAGAGCTTTTAAATTTTATTTTATTTATTTATTTTATTTTAGAGAGAGAGAGAGAGAGAGAGAGAGAGAGAGAGAGAGAGAGATGGGTGGAGGAGAGCAAGAAACAGAGGCCAGGAGATATGAAAATGATATGTCGTTGGTATCTAACACCAAGTAAACTGGCAAAAATATATAAATCTAAATCAAATAAGTGTTGGAAATGTAAAGAGAAAGAAGGTTCCTTTTATCATATGTGGTGGTTTTGTAGTAGGGTTTAAGCTTACTGGGAAATGATATATAATGGTGAAAAGGATGTTTAAAATAACCTTCTTTTAAAAAAGCACAGAAGCTTTTCTTTTAGGAATTATACAGACCGAACAACCTAAATTGTATAGAAATTTATTTATGTAGCAAGAATGCTACTTGCCCCAAAATGGAAAGAAGCCGAAGTCCCAGCAAAGGAAGAATGGATAGGAAAACATGCAGAAATGGCGAAATTTACTGGAAGAATAAGAAACCAAGACAACAAACTTTTTATAAAAGAGTGGAAATGGTTTATAAAACATTATAAAACATTGTAAAAACATTGGCAGGATTATTGTAATAACCATAAGAGTACATATTTAAAGCAGATGAGCAAATTAAATGAATTTGGATACGCAGAAAATATTTAAAAAATAAATTTAAGGAACTGCAGAAAGAGGGGGAATGTGGAAGTCAAGTTTTGAAATGTTAAAATGATTGCAAAATTAATGAAATGTATAAACCTGAAAAGTATAAATATTTTTTTTAAAAAAAGAAAGAAAGCGGGGGGGGAGGGCAGAGAGACAGAAACCAAAGTTATTGGGTGGAGTTTATTAGAAACAGGAGAGAGCAGTGAAGGCTGGCCTATCTGACCACCAACCAGACCAGAGGAGCTTCCCCTCCTTCGCCTCAGGGTTGCCCTTGTAGAACTCAGCAAGGAGGATGGGGACAAAACAACTGCATAATTGGCTTGGCCTGTCCTGGGCTATGGCGCCACCTGCTGTCAGCCTCCCTTCTTTCTGCCCTATCCGTTTCAATGAGCAGGATGTGGAGAACGACCTGCCACTGGGAGAAAGAAGAGCAGGGCCAGATTTGGGTTTTAGGAGGCCCTAAACTACTGAAGGTAATTGGGCCCTTTATATGTCCAGCTGCCCTTTGTCGCTGTGCAGATGGGGTCCTTGCCCCGGGATCACATTCATCCAGTGCTTTACCAGCTGCACTGGCTCCCGGTGGAGTACAGGGTCAGGTTTAAGGTGCTGGTTTTGACCTTTAAAGCAGCCTAGGACCCACGTACCTACGGGACCGCCTCTCCTGGTGTGCCCCACGGAGGACCTTAAGGTCCACAAATAACAACACTTTGGAGGTCCCAAGTCGCAAGGTGGTTAGAT